GCGTCAGCACGTCACAAACATTGTAATCCGTTAGGTCTTTTGAAAAGAGCAATAATATACTTCTTTTTTAGGTATCAAAGCAGATTGGTTTGCATGAAATATTGCATCCAATTCAAATATGCATCCAGTGAAAGTGCTCCATATAATAATGTCATATTTCTAAAATATAACATAACCTGCTCAGGTGGATAACAAAGAATCATGGATTTTTTTTAAGTTTAAGTTAATGCAGTTAGTGGCTCAGTGCTGAGCAGGCAATCCAACAATTAATGTTACTTCATAAATTTGGATACAATATTGAATTTTCAATGTCTTGTGATATTTATGAGTTCATTGTTTATGGATTATCTTAGCTTTGTGCAATATGAATTCTTCAAGCTAAAGAAGCTTTTGACACTTTGTGTTTGGGGTCTTGAACAATAAGAACAGAAAGAATGATAAACTTTTCTTTGTTTAATGAGCTGAACAATTTAAAAGAAAGCACATTAAATGTATAACATCATGTATTAAAACATAAACAAAAATAAATAACATAAATAAGATTTAAAAAACAAAACAAAAAAAATTTTCTGAGAAAGTTTGACTTTCTGCCAAGCAAACAATCCATGTACGGACAAGTGTATCGACTTCTGAGTAAGTACTTGTCTACTCAGCTTTATCAAATCTCGTAATAACATCTTTAGTCATCTCCTCTTAATATAAGAGTGCTCATCAGATTAATAAGGAATATTACACGGATAGAAAAAATGACTAGAGTCGTACTTAATGAGGTTAGAATTGGTAGAAGATGTGTACAGATACATAATGATGTCATACTCATTAGAGTTAGCCCGATAAAAACAGGTTCTTCTTTCCTACACATTGACGTTAATGATTTCCAATAAAAAATATATTGCACACTATGTAGTAAAATTGAGAAGACCTGATTAAATAACCCAATAGGCATCTAATTCTTGAGAATACAAATAATGGGCAAGGGCATTTCATATAAATAGAGTTCTAGTCAAAAAGTGTGAACATTTTTTTAGCTTAACTAAAAAGGACTGGCAAACCAAAATTTAAAAATGTATATATCATTTGCATGAATTGGGATTTTCAAATTAATCTGTTAAAAATATACTGAAGCACACACACTTTATAATAATTTTTTTGTGAACATTAGGCTTAATCAATATAAGGATCAAATAAAAACTTGCTTCATGCAAAGACTTGAAAATTATCCATTTTAAAGATACAAGTTGATGTAAAAAACATTTGTTTGGATACTTTTAAATTAAAATATCTGTCAGTAAGTGCAAACACTTTTTTGGCAAAACTTTGAATAGGTGGGGCCGACTAGATCTGAGGACATAACATCCAATGTAAACGTCCTCTGTTGCAGTTATATGACATGAGATCCATCCTGCTGTTTGATCCTCTACAACTTTGATTATGGCACAAAAGGTGTCTGTGAAATAACTTTGAGTCCTGAATACCTCAGTATCATGAAACCACATCACTTGGCAGGGAGGAGTATTCACTCACAGATCTGTAAAACGAATATAGTTATAATGCAGGAGCAGACATTTACAAATACAGTCCCATCAAAAGATAACATGGTTAGTCAGATGTACATGAAAATGAAGTAACTAAAAGTAAACATTTCTTTGATATACTGGATACATTTGTATCGGTGATTATGATTTTTTCCTGATTTTTGAAGCCCTTGTTTAAGCAAATTTACACTGAATCCTAAAATCAATATCACTTTAAAATTGATATTTTTAAAATAACTTAAATTTTCATTGTTTTAAATGTATCATTTATCTTTATATCTATTCAATGACATGTGCATTTCTCTCAAAAAGATTTTGAACTGAAATGATTTTTTCATCTCTTCATATTTAATTTTTTTTTAAAACATTTCTTTTTGTGGGGAAAACACCTTTATTCACTAGAGCAAAATAAGCATTATATCTTAAGTTTATAATAAATATCAGAGTAGATCTGTAATAATAGTGATACATGTTTTATAATAATATATATGCTTTTTAGGTCACCTGAGTAAACTCAGGTGACCTATTGCTATCCGTTTTCGTCCGTCGTCGTGCGTCGTGTGTCGTGCGTCGTGTGTTAACATTTGAACATTTTCAGCTTCTTCTCTGCAACCACTGAGCCAATTTCAACCAAATTTAGCACAAAGCATCTATGGGTGAAGGGGAACAAAAATTGTGAATTTCATGATCCCTGCCCCCCTGGGGCCTGAAGGGTGGGGCCAAAACCACTAAAATTAATGCAATCTTTAAAAATCTCCTTCTTTACTCCTGGACACCAAGCAGTCAAACTGTTTGCATGATTGTAATCAGCAATGAGTCCTTTACCAAAATTGTGAAATTCATGGCTTCGGGGTTCTGGTGCTAGGGCGGGGCTAAATAAGTAGGTACTGAAAATGCATTATTTCTTTGAAAATCTTCTTCTCTGCTCCTAGGTATTAAGTAAACCAACTAAGTACATAGTTATGATGAGCAAGAGTGCCTCTACCAAAATTGTGAATTTTATGGCCCCAGGGTCAGGGGTTCTGGTGTTAGGGCAGGGCTCTATTGATTATATAGTGAAAATACATGAATTCTTTGAAAATCTTCTTCTCTGCTCCTGGGTATTAAATAAACTAACTAAGTACATAGTTATGATGAGCAAGAGTGCCTCTACCAAAATTGTGAATTTTATGGCCCCATGGTCAGGGGTTCTTGTTTTAGGGTGGGGCTCTAATGATTATATAGTGAAATGCATGAATTCTTTGAACATCTTATCCTTTGCTCCTGGTTAATATACTAATGATCTAATTACATATTTTAAGGCAAGGATTTATTTTATTTTCAGTTTTAAAAACCCTCCGATCAAGGTTTTGAATTTTCAGAAAAAAATAAAACAATTTTTTTCTTTCCAATGTCAAATTTGAGTCGGGATCAAGATTTCAAATTTACGAACTCGGACTTCCGGTTTTAAGATGAAACGGCGGGTAAATAGAGCTAGATCTAAGAAGATAGCTTGGTTTAGTGTAAAATTCATTAATACGAGTGCCATTCAAAACGTTTCACCCGTTCAAAGGACAAATAAAATACTGACGACTTTGTTGCACAATGACATGCTGGATTGCTGGTGAGATAATTATGTATACATCTGTTTCAAAAGTATCTGTCTGTAAATTATTTTCCTCCCCCAGGTTTTAAACTGCCTGTGGTAGCTATTGCATATTGCCAGCGACATTGTTTAGGTCTCTGTTATAGCTTACAGTCTAAGCATTCTTCAGAAAATGGTTGCTTATGCATCAGATGCAATGAATAAAACTATGGGAGAAGTTAAGTCCATTTGAGGAAGAAATAAACAATAACCTGAAGAAATGAAAAAAAATTCAACTATTAAAAGGCAAGAATATACAAATACATACAGGCATGTAGTATCATTTGTATCAGCCAGAAAAATTATTTTACACTTAATTGGAAAAATGTTCACCCTACTCCCCAATACTCCCTGTCTGTTTTATGATAGGAATTATAATTTTAGGCATCAAGTAAATTTTAGAACAATGTCTACACATTCACCTAACACATATTTAAAAAAATGAAGATATATTGAAAGACTTTTAAAGAATTGATTTTTTAAAATATATTTTGCCCAAACTGGCAGATATTGAAATCAGCAATTAAATGTTCTACTTTCCTATTTGTTAGCATTATGTGTCCAGTTATTAAGGATCCTATTAGAATAGCATAATTTAAAGAATGTACAAATGTTAATAATTGATTTATCAAAAATTTCTTTTTTAATTTCCTTCTCCGTGACTTTTTTATTCTCATGTTCATAACTAAACTTAAACATAAAAAAATACTGGCCTTATAATGAAGAAAGGGACCTCTTTCAAAATAGATAATTTCAGGACCGCTGGGTCAGGGGTACCAGGGGGGTACTTTGACTAAAAATAAATTAATGCTTTGAAATCTGCCCTTTGATAAGCAATGGTGCCTCCTTCAAAATTTGTGAATTTCATGGCTTTTGGATTAAAACACGAACCAAATACAATCGCTGGAAAGTTGTTACACGATACTCAGGTGACCTATAAGGCCCGTGGGCCTCTTGTTTAGCTCACCTGAGCCGAAGGCTCAAGTGAGCTTTTCTGATCACATTTTGTCCGTCGTCCGTCCGTCCGTTCTTCTCAAGAACCACTTGGCCAATTTTGACCAAACTTGGTACAAAGCATCCTTGGGTGATGGGGAATTTTACTTGTTAAAATAAAGGGCCAAGTCCCCTCACAAGGGGAGATAATCAAGAAAAGACAAAAATAGGGTGGGGTCATTAAAAAATCTTCTTCTCAAGAACCACTAGGCCAGAAAAGCTGAAACTTATGTGGAAGCATCCTGGGGTAGTGTAGATTCTAAATTGTTAAAATCATGACCCCTGGGGGTTGGGCGGGGCAACAATGGGGAATCAAAGTTTTACATAGAAATATATAGGAAAAATCTTTAAAAATCTTCTTCTCAAGAACCACTGTGCCAGAAAAGCTGAAACTTAATATGTGGAAGCATCCTGGGGTAGTGTAGATTCTAAATTGTTAAAATCATGACCCCCGGGGGTAAGGTGGGGCCACAATGTGGAAATCAAATTTTACATAGAAATATGGAAAAATCTTTGAAAATCTTCTTCTCAAGAACCACTGGGCCAGAAAAGCTGAAACTTATGTGGAACCATCCTGGGGTAGTGTAGATTCTCAATGTTCAAATCATGATCCCCGTGGGTTGGGCGGGGCCACTATGGTGAATCAAAGTTTTACATAGAAATATATGGAAAAATCTTTGAAAATCTTCTTCTCAAGAACCACTGGGCCAGAAAAGCTATAACTTATGTGGAACCATCCTAGGGTAGTGTAGATTCTCAATTGTTCAAATCATGATCCCCGGGGGTTGGGCAGGGCCACTATGGTGAATCAAAGTTTTACATAGAAATATATGGAAAAATCGTGTCTGAGGTCAATTGATATCAATTGCCATGAGTCCTTATAACCACATATTGACCGTTCACTGAAGTCCATAATAGTTATGTAATCACTCAAAGTGAATGCACTGACTGACTCCTGAACAGACTCGGCTGTCATTACGTCACAATGGTTAAATTCACGCTTCTTATATTATGACGTCACGTTCTACGTAACTTTGGTGCAACCGAACGGCATGTCGTGTGATATCATTTTCCGCGGACGTGCTTTCGCGTCGACATCACAAAGGGGGATAATCACGTGACGTTCTTTCAGCCAATGAAAACTACGAAAATAATCTTATATAATATTGGTATATAGTAATCCTTATGTTCTTGTAATGTATCTTGACATTTCATGGGTTCAGTGTTTCGGTCTGAATGTAACACATTTACATACAGCTCTACATACAGTAATATTTTGACTTTTTGTCCTCAAATGAGTGCAGTAATTCTGTAGGTCTATACCATATTTCACCCTCTGAGTGTGATTGTAGGTGTAAATTGGCTGTACATTAATTCTGTTGATGAATTTTTTACTTACCTACTGAACAGGTCAATGTTAAGGAAGACATATTCTCCATTGTCAAAGTTGAGTTCGTTGGCTTTTATCATGATATCTCTGACGGAATCCGCCGAGGCACAAAGCACCACAACTGAAAAAGAAGATACCAGGTGTCATGTACCGGTTCTATGGGAAATGATGAATAAGACACAAGATAGGGGGTCAGGTTCCAAGATCATAAACAGAGAACAGACTTACGTTAAAATTTTCAAATGAATAGAATTTTTGAAATAGTTTTGATAATCAGACACAATTTTCATCCTGTGTTTGTATTTGAGTAATGGAGGTTTTTAGACATGTGAATGAAAAATAAAGTAAAAGGTTTGGACTCAAGTTTATGGTCAAGGAACCAAGAAAATGATGTTGGATCGCATAAGTCATAGCAGTCTTTTACAAGTATATGAGTAAAATTGATTCAAATAGCAATATTTTGATTCATCATATTATAAGTTCAAAACAGAAATGGGCATAGATTCAGTGTGGTTTGGACATAAGTACACAAAGTAAAGAGGCCTATTTAGGAACAAATGCCTTGCTAGGTAAAAAGGCTCCTCACAGTTACAAGTGTACACTAAGATAAGTCTTGATCTATCTTAGCAAAGAAACCCAGTTTTAACAGGAATGTCACGAATAAGAATTGTAAGGATACCGGTAGTTGTAATGTATAGCCTTAAAAAGTAATTGATGTAAAAATTAAAAAGTACATGTATGTCACTGATACGGTTGTGTTGTGATTTCTTACGTATACATGAAGCAAGCAAAAATTATTAATGGAAAATGTGCTGGCGTCACTGTCCAGAATATTGTGATGTTCATTGACAATACGATATATGTACCTGGCAAGATTGTCACTTTCTGATACACTGTCTTTGTCATTCTACAGCATCTTATATTGCCTCGGTTTTTCACTTGCCAGGGCTCTTATTTTTTTTTTGGTAAATGAAGACGCATTACTGTCACGCGTAGAATGACCAGAATTATGCTGTCCAATGTTTAATCAGGCAGAAATCTGTGTATATTTTATTGCTATCTACAGTAACTTCTTCTTTAGTTTGTTTGGTCACGCATTTCTTCAATAAATAACCACCGCCATGTTTGCCGTCTGCTTCGTCACACGGAGGGATATTTTACCGGTCATTGACTTTGCCAAAATCTCCCTCTCATCACGGCAGATTAATAATACAAACAATGATACTCTGTGTATAAAATATAATCCACTATACATAAGTTACATGGTGTTTTCTCTGGTCGCAGCATTAGCGGGTGACAGTTTAAATTATCTAAAACAAATTAATCTATACCAAATTAATTTTGAAAAGAAAAGGCTGGCCATCAAATGACATATGCTATTAACTAACCAACAGTTCCTCTGTCTAATTCCCAAAGGTCATCATACAGCTTGATCAGAGTGATTAAGACAGCTAGCCTGAACTCATTAATTAATCTTTAACTGGATGCTTGTCTACTCATTAATACCAATAGATGAATGGGTCTGCACTATCTACCATAACATTTTTAAAAACATATGAAATACTCAAAGATTTTTTTTTGGTTGACATTTAATGTCCGACAGGTTTTAATATGAAATTCATATGGACATGCTGATTCCATCCCATACCCATAAAATTAGTTTTTATAAATTAACAATTTTATATAATATAAGATTAGTCTACTATGCAATATTAAATTAGTTTTAATTACTTTTCATTAAATTCATTTTAAAACTTAGGCTAGCCAGCAAGAGCTATTTTTAATCCAACAGGCTCACACATTTGCCCAATACTCAAGGGATATAGATAACACCATGCTCTAGCTATTAGCGAACTCCTCACACTCAAAACTCATTAATTTCTCTCTAATTTGACATGCAATTTTCTGTTATCAAAATTCTTCTTGAGTCTTGACCAGTGCTTGATAATTACACTCATGGGAGAGGTAGGATTTCTTTAACATACATAATATTTGCTGTCAAGTATATGCTTTAAAAAAAAAAAGTATTTTCTTGATTTAACACTTTTTTAATAAGGACAGTGCAATACTCTTACATTATTTGGGATGTGTAAATGAATAGTAAAAAGACACATTTTTTTTTTAAAATTTCATTTAAATCAAAGGTCACAGTGACCTTGAAATAGGTCGCGACACACCTTCTACCTAAGATGCATAAACTGGCCAAGTTTGATGATTGTAAGTCTTATAGTTTTCTAGTTATGGGCCGGAAAGGATTTTTCCATATTTGGCTATATCTTCTTAATTAAAGGTCAGAGCGACCTACTTTTTGTGCGCGACACACCTTCTACCCAAGATGCATCAGATGACAAAGTTTGATAATCCTAGGCCTAATAGTATAAAAGTTATGAACCGGAAACGAAAAGCTAACAGACAGAGAGACGGACAGACGGACAGACGGACGGACACGAAGCCTATAACATAATACGTCCCGTCTTAAGACGGGCGTATAAAAAATCTTTAAAACACTTCTTCTCAAGAACCACTGGGCCATTGAAGCTAAAACTTTGATGGAAGCATCCTGGGGGTAGTGTAGATTCTAAATTGTTAAAATCATGACAGGGGAGGGGGGTAGGGGGCCACAATAGGTATAACAAGAGGGGAAATCTGGTGAAGAACTCAAGTTACTCAGATGAGCGATGTGACCCATGGGCCTCTTGTTTAAAAATGTAAAGAACAAAACAAAAGTTACAAAAAGACCAATTTTAATAATTTTTAAAGGAAAAGCTTCAATATACTTTCAGCAATATTATTGTCACTGTAGTTTTACTCAGGAAAAATTTTCGTTTCATTCAGGAAATTGTTATAAGGCCCACCATTAATTAATAGAATTTTTTAAAGTAGTTAATGAACAAATAATAAATGAACTCAAAAGTATGTGCTAAAGTGCAGTGCAAACACATAAGTGAAATCAGTAAATTAAGGATAGATATAAAAGTGAGCGAGATAAACAGCTGATAAATATGACTAGCCTACACTGATATAGTGAGATCTGATACCTGTTAAGGATTAGGTGGCAGGGGATAGTTTTTTAAATGCCAAACGTGAGTCGAGGGGGTACACATATACATACAGTCAAAAAATCATGTACATGGGACAGTTTTCCTGGTGCTAATTAATTACACTTCATATCCCATAGCTCATAAATTATGTCAACAATTTTATATAATCTACCTATCTGAGTGCACACGTACTAAAATTGCACTTGGGGACTCCCAAAATTTTGGCTTGTTTTTCCGAGATTTGGGCCTCAGTCGCGCCCATATAGCCCACACCCAGACCAGGGCAAGCAGGAGTCTGTAAATCAATGCATGCCCTAATGAAACTTCACAAATTGAGAAGGGGCCATTCACCTCTGAGATACACACCTTCTTCTAAGGCCTACTGCTTTTCAGCTCAATTTCCTCTGCACCTGACCACGTCTTAATTTTTGCATTTACAACTCTGTATGATAAGCATCATAGTAACACCTATATGTTGCACATCATTTTTTTTTTCAGCAAGCACTCTGCTATACTACAAATGTGTCCCATAATTGTTCAAATCATTTTTCTACATAAAATATCCCATGAAACAGGAGATATCTCAGTTGTTAAGAAAATTTACTAGATCTTAAGTATGAAACTATCCTCTGCCACCATAATATATCTAGCCTAAACTGATATAGTGAGATACATGTATGGTACCAGTTTAGGATTAAGAACGAGTGCACTTATGGGCCCCGATAAAATGTGAAAAAATAAAAATCAAATAAAGCTAAATTTTTCAACCCATATCACTAACTGATATCTAAACCATACGATTCAGTAAATTTTTCCCACTGAAATTCACGAATATACAAAGAACAATGCCATAGAATGTGGCAGGGGTCAGCCAACATTTTTGATTTTCTATAGTAAATCGAGAACGGTCATTCATTTCAAAGCTTTTGTTTACTATGAGCCTAACTTTGTACAAACTTGTGCGAATGACAAAAGACGCATAATACATTTATAAGACTTGTGTGAAAGTAGGAAATTTGTACACGATTAGGCTGGTAGTTAAAATATCAAATATGTACAAAAAGTACAATGTTTTTCCTATAGGAAGTGAGAGGTATTTACCTGTATGACCCATGTTGAACTCACGTGTGGAATAAATTATTTAAAATACTTATGTAGTCACGTGAGTTCTACCCAGGTTAACATTTCTCAAAGGTGCTCACTGTAAAACATCAGCAGGTTTTGTATTATTTAGTCAAAGTCGCGCCACTTAGAAATATTTGCATGCATTTATTTTTAAGAACACGGGAGGGTAAAGAGAGTTTAGTGTCATTCATAAATGTGTCAAATATTTTTAACATTTATGCAAGACAATGAAACAGGTATTGAAAGTCACCTAAACACTCCTTTTAGATTTCAAATTCAACGAAACTTTTATTGTATATATATTTTCAAATGCAATAGTGCCAATTTCTTAGTTTGATTATTATGGCTACAGGCAACTACACAACTTCATTCAATTTTTCAAAAACAGATTTAGCACAAAAAGTTACATTCCACAAACGCGCCCGACTATGATCCACCATCAGATTGTTCGTTTTGATTTAAATATCTCTTCGCCTTGATTTACATAAACGAAACTAAAAGAAAGTTCGGTACGACTTTTCCGGATTTAGGGTATTCATAGGCATTTAACAATATTCAATTGTTTCAAATCCATGCTGATTTAGGTGATGCTTAACGTGCCTTTTAATTAGAAATATCCACTAGTATCTAACTATTTCCAAAAGAGAACGATTTGGTAATATATCCTAAAGTAAAATGGCACATAAAAAGGGCCCATTTAGCATTGCTTAAGTGCACTTGTCCTTTGTACAAGATAGACAGCTGATATCAATACTAGCCAATACTTCTACATTGCAATGGTAGCGGACTAGCGGTTTAGTATAAATTTGCATGAAATAGATAACGATATGACTAGCTGATGCTGTAATATAGAGATATGGTACCGGTTTAGTATAAATGTGCATGAAATAGATAACAATATGATATGACTAGCTGATACTGTTATAGATATGGTTAGATATGGTACCGGTTTAGGTGTCCTGTGGTTCTTGACCGGCTAACGGTGACTTTATCCCCTAACACACAACAAACACAGAACACACATAATACAACAACATCTACCACAGATTATCTGAACACAATAAAATAAATCATTCTATGTTTAAATGAATTTTGATTCAACAACAAAATGTGCTACATGATGATATGTTTGAATACTTGTTTATCTTGTCATTACTTCTGTGAAATGCCTGTTACATAAGAGTTATCTCCCTTACCTGGGAGTCCTGGGAATTCAGCGCCCCCTGGTGCTAACATAGAGCCATATACGTTGTAAGCCACAATACAACAACACAGGAGAATAGGACCAATGATGGCACCCTCTAGTCCTAACCAGTATATGCCCCCCGCAATGGCCAGACCAGTCAAATACGGATGACCACTGAAACAGAAAGCTCATGTCAGCAAATATGCATATATAAAATAAACTTCATTTTCACATTGCACATTTTTTTTAAAAATGAGTTTCCATGTAAGATATTCTGACAACAACTTAAAAAAAAACAACATTGCATGTTTTGACAACATTACTCATTCATTATGCTATTAAATGTATAAAAACACTCCTGATGTGGTTTGAATTAAATGTAATAAAGTGCCGCGCCACAGCATGATACGCCCGTCAAAAATTACAATTTTCTTCAACAGTTTAGCTTGCAATCACGTCAACCCTGATTCTAAATTTCCATGATTTTTCCATTCCTAAAAATATTTATCCATCCCCTGTGATGTAGGCATTAATCATAATAAATATTACATCATTGATGGATTTCTATGCTGGTTGTGTTAGACCTTGTCAAATGCCCATCATATTAAACAATATCAAATTAGTCTTCAATTAATCTATACCAAATTAATTTTGAAAAGAAAAGGCTGGCCATCAACTGACATATGCTATAAACTGACCAACAGTTCTTCTGTCTAATTCCCAAAGGTCATCATACAGCTTGATCAGAGTGATTGAAACAGCTTAGCCTGAACTCGATCATTAATTAATCTTTAACTGGATGCTTGTCTACTCATTAATACCAATAGATGAATGGGTCTGCACTATCTACCATAACTTTTTTAAAACATATGAAATCCTCAAAGATTTTTTTTGGTTGACATTTAATGTCCGACAGGTTTTAATATAAAATTCATATGGACATGCTGATTCCACCCCAATCCCATAAAATTAGTTTTTATAAATTAACAATTTTATATAATATAAGATTAGTCTACTATGCAATATAAATTAGTTTTAATTACTTTTCATTCAATTCATTTCAAAACTTAGGCTAGCCAGCAAGAGCTATTTTTAATCCAACAGGCTCACACATTTGCCCAATACTCAAGGGATATAGATAACACCATGCTCTAGCTATTAAGCGAGCTCCTCACACTCAAAACCCATTAATTTCTCTCTAATTTGACATGCAATTTTCTGTTATCAAAATTCTTCTTGAGTCTTGACCAGTGCTTGATAATTACACTCATGGGAGAGGTAGGATTTCTCTAACATGCATTATATTTGTTATAGATTGCTGTCAAGTATATGCTTTAAAAAAATAAGTATTTTCTTGATTTAACACTTTTTTAATAAGGACAGTGCAATACTCTTACATTATTTGGGATGTATAAATGAATAATAAAAAGACACATTTTTTTTTTTTATTTCATTTAAATCAAAGGTTACAGTGACCTTGAAATAGGTCGCGACACACCTTCTACCTAAGATGCATAAACTGGCCAAGTTTGATGATTGTAAGTCTTATAGTTTTCTAGTTATGGGCCGGAAAGGTTTTTTCCATATATGGCTATATCTTCTTAATTAAAGGTCAGAGCGACCTACTTTTTGTGCGCGACACACCTTCTACCCAAGATGCATCAGATGACAAAGTTTGATTATCCTAGGCCTAATAGTATTAAAGTTATGAGCCGGAAACGAAAAAGCTAACAGACAGACAGACGGACAGACGGACGGACACGAAGCCTTTAACATAATACGTCCCGTCTTAAGACGGGCGTATAAAAATCTCATGATTTTGAAATAAAGTTCAAGAATAGTTCATAATAGTTTACAATATTATATAGAATAAAATCTTAAGTCAATAAGTTTGATAATGTACCCTTTAATTTCTCCCAGGATACTGGTGTCTACAAAGTAAGATGGCAGGATGTGGCAGATAAAGAGAGCCAGTCCTTTGATTCCCTGTCCCTGTATTAACCAGAGTTCTAACACAGCAGGGAGGGTGGCCCAATAGGGACCAAGAAACGGGACAGCAGCTAACACAGCAGCCAGGGCTGGAGAGAACAAACAGAAATGAAAATTACAGCAGGGAGGGTGGCCTAGTACAGACCCAGAAACGGGACAGCTGTTAACACAGGAGCCAGGGCTAGAGAAAACAAACAGAAATCTTTGAAATAAATAGAACTTAATTAGTAACTAATTTCTAAATATCAAGAACTTTTCTGTCTTGGATAGAGCAAATTTTGAGCCATCAAGAGTCATTTGTATATTGATAATATTTAATATACAACTTACTGGATGGTATAAACACCATGTTGATACCAAATAGTGTGTGTGTTAACCAGGTGTAGAGTCCATAGAAGGCAGCCATCTTAAGGGATGCCATGAATACACCACTGTTGAAAAGGTTTATATCAACTCAATAATTATATCAAATCAAAAACTCAAAATAAATATGTTGGGCAAATTGACATTGATGATAAATCTTTACTTACTAACTTTAGATGTATTACCCATTCAAAATAAGATACAGTTTCCTTTCTAAAAGTCAAATAAATATTTTTGCTTCCTTACCCTATTGCCTCCTGCACAGCCAGGCTGAATTTGCTGCCTGAGGGGTGAGGGTTGAGACCAGAAATCCACTCCATTGGTTTAAACTGCTTCCCACTGGATGCAAGCAGATAGAAGAGAGTGGTCAGGAAAATGGCCTGTAATAAAGGGAGATAATTTATCTAAACAAGGGAGATCATCTGATCTACAGTCAGGAAAATAGCCTGTAACAAAGGGAGATAATCTGACTATGACTCTAATAAAAAGAGATAATCTGGTCTGAGCAGAGTTCTTTAAATCTTTTTTCCACTGTCAGTCATTTGGACTGACTGTCACAGGAAGTTTGTCGGTCCAGACAGATTTTTATCAGTCCAACAAAATAATTAAACATAATTTTAAGAAGATTAAAACTGTATTTGAATTTTATTATCATTACATTTCGCACCCTCCGTCATATACACACTGCATACTTCATGCGGATTTGATCATCGTATAACAAATTTCGTTGAATTCTCGTGGGAGGTCAATTTTCTTCATAAGTTTTTAATCTAGTTCGATTTTTCTCACCTGGCTAATACCTTATCGACGTCAAAAACTTGTTAAAACAATTAATCAATCATAGTTTGGTACTTGCGTTCATCGAAGAAGCCATTACGATATACTAAAAAGTGTCTAAAAGATTATGATCGGTCGGTTATAGGGAATTCGTACGAAATTTAGTCGGATTTTCGCAAGTTGCTTTCTCAACATGTACCGGTCATTTGGACTGACACAGAACGTAAAGTGATCGGTCCTTGGTTGTTTTTATTGGTCTTGCCGACAGGACCGAAAGATTTCAAGAACTCTGGGTCTGAGTGTAGTCAGAAAAATGGTCTGTAAATATCTTCTCAATAAAAGAGCACAAATAACTACTTGTGTCATTTTGGTTATGCATGTACCCACTCCCCTTATCTATTCCTGACTAGACTGTGGTTGTACTTACGGCTGAGATGATAAAGTTCAGTATGGCTGTTCCTCCACCTAAGATGATAGACAAGGCTGCCGTGGCAATACTGAGCATCAGGCTCATGTTACCCTTGAGTACCATCCAAACATTCTCCAAAACCTGCAATATACAGAGTAATATATAATTATAAAAAAGAAACTGCATCCTCCAAATTTGAAAACTTGATCACTAAGTTTCCTACAATGAATTTTCTTTCATGTTTATTCAGATATTTTGACACACATTATTTAGCTTGTATTTTTATCCCAATATCAATTTCTCTTGACTAATCATCATCCAAAGAAAATTATGACAAAGATTTAACTTTTAACCTGATTTTGTTTTACTTTCTTACAGATACAAATGTCCCAATGTTGTCTTTAACAAATTCCATCACTTGGGAATAGTTGAAGCTCTTGCCCTGCATTCCAAACTCGTAAACAGATCTCCAGTCTAGCATGTCGTTAGGGATGATTTGAAAGCTTTGTTTTGCCACGCTGTGATTGGAGGCACCCTGTTATACAAAGAATCAAATCGGTTTAACTTACAAACCAAAGATAAAATTATACAAAACTGAGAATTTCTGCTGTTTTAATTTCTTTTTCTCAGTTCATTATTTATAGTAAGCATTCAAATTTCTGAATTTGCAACATTTTTGATTCAACTGGTTTTGAAAACCCCAAATCATCAAATACATTGCTAATTGAGTTTTTTTTTGTGAGTGGTTCGTTTGAATACTGTAAAAATGCTACATCTGTATATACAAGGTGTTGTACCAAAAAAAAAGAATATTACAAAATACACTGACAATAGTATAATCAGAAGAAAGGAAGCATTAAAGACAAGGACAATCCCCCACAGTGAGAGGCCTTGTGTGCCCTGATTTTTTTTTTTTTTGTACATGAAAATAAATATTTAATCCTGTTAATGAAAGCTACAAACATTACAGTTAACACTCTCTATTCTATACAATAATTCAAATCAAATATATCACAATCTGACTTTGTGTTTATGTGCTTTGTTTATTAAAAGTCAAAGAAAGCTAATCACTCTGCAACCCTTGGCCATTCAAATCTACTTACTTTTTTATTCAGAGATTCTGCATATAAATTTGAGAGACTATGCCATTGTAGAGAATATTAATAATAAAAGTTAATTTATCTGGATAAAAACCTTGGGCAGATTCAACCATTAGATTAACAAATTACATAATAAACTTGATATAAGTGTTACAAACTACAGAAAGAAATTAAATGATGAATAAAGTTTCAGCAAAGAATAATCATTTTAATACACATATACATGTTTATAATCCGAGATTGCTCTGACTCTAACCCCCGCATTTATTTTATGACTTGTGCAGCCTGCACCAGTCATATCTTGTGCAGCACAAACCAGTCATAATATAAAAGCAGGGGTTAGAGTCAGAGAAATCTTGGATTAATAAATTAATTGCTAATCTGCTTCTCTAACTACTTGTATTCACTTTCTAATTAACAGATATGATGTAGAGAAGTTAAAAAGGTAATCAACTTCAAACCAACTTTTCGTTAAAACCTCTAATATGTAATCACTGTTATTACAAACAAGGTACGTTATACTGTGTAACTATTTACTGCATTGTTAGCTTCTGGTGTGTATTAGTACAATGAAATCTGAACTTCCTAGATTTTATATCTTTCTTTACACCGTAAATGATATATTATCTAGTGGAAAGGTATCTAGGATATTTTTGGACTAAAATCTTTCTAGATTTCCATGAAAAGCTTAACAACAAACATGCAGAGACTTAAACATAAATCCATGAATGTGAATTTTTATTATCACCTTGCCCAATTAATTTTATATTATGGAGCCATTAGAAAGAGTAAGTCCTGATTAAGTCCCCTTTCCTATCCATCAATATTTATCCTTATCATGCAGTCTACCCCATATACCTAGGCCTTTCTTAAGTTCGTACATAAATTGTCATGCATTTTTTTTTCACCTTGCTAATTCCGTCCTATTTCATTTAAGCAGAGTAAATAGTACTCCCATTTACCATGGAATAAAAGAATGACTAGCTTACTTAAAAAAAAAAACCCCGAACTTTACACATGAAAAAGTATTTTGAACATTAAATATCTTTTTTTGTATACCTACCAAACTCTCATATACATGTATTTACAGTATATAATTTAGAAAATCTGCATATATATGTGTACATGTATATGATGAAGCAGAGAGAATCCATAATATCTGAGTTTCAATAAACTAAAGAAGCAGAATTTCATTTTAAGGTAAATAATAAATTTACTACTACATTGATATTATTGTCAGAAGATAAAACTGAAAGCTATAAATGTGGACAAAAGATGGGCACACTATTCCAGTAAACTGAGCACCACAGAATGACAAAGTGAGAAGGGCTTACCGCTCGATTGAGCCACAGGCTCGTATCAGAAATCTGCATAACACCAAAGAAAACATTGCTAGAAAATAATATTAACATGAGCGTATCTCAGAACTAATGTTCAATTGTTAAAATATTGTCATTTAATTTGCTAGTATTTGTTCTGAGCTTACCCTAGCCAGCCAGCTGTGATACAGATTATCCCAGACCTCCAGTACCTTGGTTTCTACCTGTGTCGTGTTGGCTCCCTCTTGTCCCCCAACCAAATCATGAACCTAAAACACATACATGTAAGTCAGAACTCTGGGTCAAAATGAAAAGAAACATATTTTGATTCATTTTAATTTCCATCTAATCAAGTGCTCCAAAATCCGGATAAAACTTTACATGTAAATGTGAGGAATCTGTTGTAACATAGACTCTTTTTCAAACTTGCAGATATAAAAGTACCAAGTAACAACTTGTTTAAATTCTATCACAAAATAACACTTTTATAAAAAAGATTGAATTTTTGTCTGGAGGAAAATATCATTTGCATCAACCTAGTTTTGTCTCAAAGCAGTATATTTTTAAAGGGGAACTTTTAATACTAAGTTGTGAAAAAATTGTAAATGTCCTTGCCTTTGTTGCAATCCATTTCCTGCCATATAAGTAAGCATTGCCCACCATGGAATCCATGGCTACCTGCATGTCCTCTCCCTTGGGTAACCATCTGTAACATTTCAGGAACTCAGTCATCAAATCATTACATAAAGGACTTTACAAACACCCATGGCTTAGTAATGTTCGTATTTACATGGAAATAATACATGATAAAGACCTGCTCTTTTTGAGGAAGAAAGAAGAATCTAAAAATTAATTTTGTGTGGCCTTTTTTTTTTCAAAAAAAAGTGGTGACAACAGACTCTTAAAAGAAGTGTCTTAAAACCACACTTTGACTCACCTTAAGTGACAAATTCTATTTTCATGCCATTCACTTTTTTAAATAACTTACTCTCCATATTCTCTGGTACTGTTGAGTACATTGCTGGAGATTTTGAAAAGATGCATGCTTTCTTGGTGAACCTGTAATTCAATAAATCAAAATAAAAAAAAAAATAAATAGACAAATTTAGAAATTCCTATCTTTATAATAGAACATGTAATTAAATGTTGATTAATGGTGATATAATTAGTAACCTGCACGGCAAAGAAGATGGTGAAGAGGGTGGATCCAATGATAAGGATGAATATAAATAGAATACTGGTGAACTTGTCCATGGATCCATCCAAGATTGACATCATCTTAAAAAACAAGGGAAAAAAGCCCAAATTACAAATAAAACATTGGGTTCAGTTCTCATCAATGTTTTGGAATCAAGATGAAACACACACTAGATTTTAAGATTTTTAAAATAAGTAATTATGAAAAAAGTTAATGAAGTTACCTTAGCATCTCCACGACTAAAGAGTTTGAGGAGACCAATCACCCATCTAGGAGCTAGCACGTCTTTTCTCACCCTGTACCATTCCATGATAGCCAACTTACATGCTTCCACATTATCTCCAAAAAATCCTCCAGGTTTCAGCTGATGCACTGTCAAATGATAAAACAAAAATATAAAAAGAATTCCTTTATAATACAAGTACATGTACATTTATTTATACCTCGGTCTTAATAGAGGGATATATTTTCATACGCAACTAAATAAAACAGGACAGGATAGGAAATAATAAAATATGTTACTCATTGTTGAATATATTAAATGAAATCTTTCTTTATAAATCACATGTACATACCAAAAGCTTTAAAGATCCACATGAGGCCTAACAGAGGGACCAGTAGCTGAAGTAACCAGATGTTCATCCACACCCGAGTCAGGACGAGGGCCCAGAATAAGTACACAAAGTATTTAGTACTACCAGGGCCTTTATCCTCCACAACTCGCACAGTCTTCTTCTTGGTGGATCTAACTTTTGGGGTGGTGGATTCTGGTTTAGGGAGTGGCAGGTTGGTTGGCTTTACAACACCAGTAGATTTCTGACTTTTGTCTGTATGGAAAGGTTAACAATTTCAACATTAAACAATGTACAATATACCAGTTGTTTATTGGGAAATTTCTGTATCTTAAAATTTTAATTTGTGATTTGAATCTCTAATCTTAACATCTGTACCTGCATTTTTTGTATATTTTTTTAAAGTGCAAAAATACAGAATTTGAACATTTTGCAGTTCTTTTATTTGAAAACATAGGTAATCAAAGATTACAGAGCTCACCTCAACGAATGTTGTCTTTAAGTTAGGCAAAGTCACACAATTAACCAACAAAAAGTGTACATCCAAAAATGCAAAATTTATGAAATTTTGTTTTGATACTTTGGAATAGGCCTATATAAAAACTTCAAACTAGTTCTTCAACATGAAAACCTAATTAAAATCCAGCTTCTGATGCAACTTTGAGAGTTTTCATCCGTTGATGCATCATTTGTGCAAGTTTGGTTAATATAAGCCTTATAGTTTCTTGTAATAGACCTGCACCCATAACTTTAACCATGTCCATTATCTTGAAAATGTATGTCAAATTCAGCAACTGAACATTAGTGTGCATCCTAAGATGTATCATCCATGCAAGTCTGCTTAAAATATCGATCAAAGTTATTTGGAAATGAAACCTGTATAAAAAAAATAACCTTTTCACTAAACCAGAAAATGTAGGTCAGATTCAGCATCTGAAGCCAGCCTGGCAGAATGCACCTTTAGAATTATAATCCATGCAAGTTTGGTTACTGTAGAGCTCAAAGTTACTTGGAAATGAATCCTGCACCCAAAACTTTAACCTGTTCACTCAACCGGAAAATGTAGGTCAGATTCAGCATCTGAAACAAGTCGGTAGTATGCATCGATATACCATCCATGCAAGTTTAGACATTATAGGGCTCATAGTATCTTTGAAATGAAAACTGCACCAAAAACTTTAACCTGTTCACTCAACCGGAAAATGTAGGTCAGATTCAGCATCCGAAGCAAGTCGGGTAATATGCATCCTAAGATGTACCATTCATGCAAGTTTGGTCATTATAGGGCTCATAGTATCTTTAAAATGAAAACTGCACCAAAAACTTTAACCTGTTCACTCAACCGGAAAATGTAGGTCAGATTCAGCATCCGAATCAGGTCGGGTAGTATGCATCCTAAGATGTACCATCCATGTAAGTTTGGTCATTATAGCGCTCATAGTATCTTTGAAATGAAAACTGCACCAAAAACTTTAACCTGTTCACTCAACCGGAAAATGTAGGTCAGATTCAGCATCCGAAGCAAGTCGGGTAATATGCATCCTAAGATGTACCATTCATGCAAGTTTGGTCATTATAGGGCTCATAGTATCTTTAAAATGAAAACTGCACCAAAAACTTTAACCTGTTCACTCAACCGGAAAATGTAGGTCAGATTCAGCATCCGAAGCAAGTCGGGTAATATGCATCCTAAGATGTACCATTCATGCAAGTTTGGTCATTATAGGGTTCATAGTACCTTGGAAATGAAAACTGCACCAAAAACTTTAACCTGTTCACTCAACCGGAAAATGTAGGTCAGATTCAGCATCCGAATCAGGTCGGGTAGTATGCATCCTAAGATGTACCATCCATGTAAGTTTGGTCATTATAGGGCTCACAGTATCTTTAAAATGAAAACTGCACCAAAAACTTTAACCAGTTCACTCATCCGGAAAATGAAGGTCAGATTCAGCATCCAAAGCAAGTCGGGTAATATGCATCCTAAGATGTACCATTCATGCAAGTTTGGTCATTATAGGGCTCAAAGTATCTTTGAAATGAAAACTGCACCAAAAACTTTAACCTGTTCACTCAACCGGAAAATGTAGGTCAGATTCAGCATCCGAAGCAAGTCGGGTAATGTGCATCCTTAGATGTATCATCCCTGCAAGTTTGGTCAACATACGACTTATAGTTACTCGGAAATGAGACCTACACCAAAAACTGCACCAAAAATGTTAACCTGCTCCAACCTGGTCATTCCTTTGCTGAAATTGCAGCATCTGAAACTTAGACTGGTACAATGAAACCCACTAGAAACATCTTCTATGCATGTCTTATCAATATAGGACATAGGAGTAACTAAAAAGAAAACTGCTCCAAAAAACTTAACCTTAACTCGGGACGCCGACGCCGAGGGTATTACATAAGCTCCCCCAACTTCGTTGAGGTGAGCTAAAAATGAAAAAGCCACCAAAACTGGACAACATGTAATAAAGTATCTGTGCAGTGGAAGAGTAAGAAATCTACCTGTCTCCTCACTGAATAAGAAATCTACCTGTCTCCTCACTGAAGCTCTCGGTGGTAGAGACCTCCGAGGACGAGTCCATAAGGTCAGTATCAGATTCCTGTCCCTGTCTTAGAGCCCTCTCCAAGTCCCCCGTAAACACAGTCCAAATAGCCAGCACATCAGATATACTATGTCCTGGTAGAAAAAAATTATATGTTTAAAAAAAAAATACACTATATCATGAATTAATAACTGAATTATAGGTATCTATAGGATTTTGAAAATGTTAAAAAGCAATATATACATCTTGAAACTTTTTCAATAATTATTACATAATGTTCAAGGGCATAAAATTTTCTTTAGGCAAGCAAAATATCTTTACCCTATAAACATTTTGAGTTCATAAAGAATTTTGGGTTCATTTTTATTTGTAAAATTAAATAAAATTTTAATGAAAGTATTTGAACATGTTGAAAAAAATATGATTGTACAATGTACTTTCATGTCAACTTGAGGACAACCTTGTTCTTCCACTCTTCTCTTTATTTCTTTTACTTCACTTGCAAATCCAGTGGCAATCAATCCGATTATTAAGAGAAACAGTGGGACGCGGAGAGACCCAGCTACAGTGGCTATGTGAAGAATGAGGACACCCCAGATAGGCAGGGACAAGAGACGTAAATACTTCTTAGACTCAGCATTCCACAGAAAGATGACAACAACTAGATAGGCTACTACAACAGTCCATACCTGAAAGAGATAACATGTACAGCAATTGAGTGGACATTGGTTGTTTCCGACATGACGTTTGCACTAAAACTTTGCATTTATACATGTAATAATGAAGAGAAAGTAAGAGTTAAAGGCTTTACTTTTTTGAAAAACAAAAAGTAATCAGGATTATGAATCTTTAATCTTAATGTATTCTACAGTGTAATAAGTACAAATGTTTGTTGAAATCATAACATTGATATTTTGCGATTAAAAAAAATCTTCACATAAAACATGTAAAACGTGTAAAAAGTGAGCCAAACAGATGATCTATGTCTTTTCAGTGTATATCTTCTCTTAGTCCCCATCACATTTTAAAAACTAATTACGTAGAACCCTTAACCCTCTTCATTTCTCTGTTTGGGATATGCCACATCATCTAAACATATGGATTATGCAATACATATTTAAGCATATGTAAAGTGAAAAGTTACCCAAAATGATGTAAAATAATCCAGAACTTCAGAGACGAAAATAAATACTGCATAACACATTTCCAGTATACTTCTTACTGGACCAAAATACCACAAAATGTAAATTAAAAACAAGCTTATAACTCCTCCACACAGTAATTTCCAGTGTCTAACAATTGTACGATCAAATATCATAACATAAGTATAGTCGAGAACTTGTATTGGTAAATATGCTATTCCTATAACAAAAGGTGTCCCTGACTCTTGTAAACCACGTAACCATCGTCTTAATATTGCTGTCAATTCACGTTTGAAGGGGTACAGAAATGTTCCACACAACACGGACCATAACAGAGGTCGGAGGAAAGCTTCTAGAATGAAATACACAGCGATAGCTGATCCTCCAGCAAGTAAAACAAAAATATTGGCTGCTGTCGTGTATAGTGCTTGTTGAAATGCTTTTTCATGGCCCTGCGAAAGACTTTGCAACATTGAATTCACGAAAGGGGACTTGGCCATCTTGAAAGAATTTTTCTGGTTAACTCTTTCATAAACACATTCGTATTCTAAGAAAAGAAGAGTTAGAGAAAAGAGAATATAATTTTATAAATTATTATCAGCATTACTACAGACAAATATCTTATATAAAAATGAAATGCTGTCTTACTAAATATTTAACAGTAACCGAAAATTTCATCATTGCTGAAAGATATCTGCTATTCGTACGTGTTAACAATTGTACTTTCATTTTGAGCAAAATGGATTTTGTTGACGTGCAAGTTGCCGGCGAAGAGAAATATGCAAAACAAGATGACATACCCATTCAGTATGGTACAGCAGGATTTAGAACAAAAGGAAATCGCCTGAAGCATGTGATTTACAGGATGGGTGTGTTGGCAGCCATTCGATCTGCCTGTAAAAATGCAGCCACGATAGGTGTCATGATTACTGCTTCACACAACCCGGAAGAAGATAATGGTGTCAAGTTGGTGGATCCAATGGGGGAGATGCTTGGTCCAGAGTGGGAAAAATACGCCACTGAAATTGCAAACGTTTCTGATAATGAGCTTGGGTCCGCCCTCCAGGCGTTGGTGAAGACTCTTGGAGTAACAAGTCTCAATAATAGTAGAGTGGCGTTTGCCAGAGACACAAGACCCAGCAGTCCGGCCTTGGCAGAAGCTCTGGAGGCAGGAATCAAAACAGCAGGTGCCCAGTGTCAGAACTTTGGACTGCTTACCACTCCACAATTGCATTATATTGTCCGGTGTATTAATACCAGTGGAGAGTATGGAAAACCAACAGAGGATGGTTACTTTGAAAAACTCACAGGAGCTTTCATCAAATTGAGAAACATGAGGAAAACAAAGAAGATGAAAACACTAGAATCTTATAATGCCTGTCTGTACCTGGATGCAGCAAATGGAGTAGGAGGAGGAAAGGTTCCTGTCCTGCAGGCTAAATTAGGGGAACCCCTGACGATCAACCTTGTGAATGACGGAAGTGGTAAACTGAATCACGACTGTGGAGCTGACTTTGTTAAAGTTCAACAGAAGCCCCCAGCAGGAGTCAGCTTGGTTCCTGGTCAGAGATGGGCTTCATTTGATGGAGATGCAGACAGAATAGTCTACTACTTTCTTGGTGTTACAGATAAAAAGTTTCATCTCCTAGATGGTGACAAAATTGCAACACTAGTGGCTGGGTACCTTAAAGATCTTGTTCAAGAGACAGGACTCTCTATCAATCTTGGGATAGTTCAGACTGCCTATGCTAATGGCAGCTCTACTAGCTACATCACAGACACATTAAAGGTCCCAGTGGCTTGTGTTCCAACAGGAGTGAAACACCTTCATCACAAAGCACAAGAATTTGACATTGGGGTCTACTTTGAAGCCAATGGTCATGGTACAGCCTTAGTGAGTGACTCTTCATATGCTCTCTTGCAGAAATCAGTTAAAGACACAAAACTGACAGAAAAACAAAGAGAAGCTTGTGATCTACTGCTTTGTGTCATAGACTTGATCAATCAAACCGTAGGTGATGCAATATCTGACATGCTCCTTGTTGAGATGATCCTAGCTAGCCAGGACTGGGATGTGGAACAGTGGAACAAAGCCTACACAGATCTTCCTAATAGACAGCTCAAAGTCAAGGTCAAGGACCGCTCTGTGATCCAAACCACTGATGCCGAGAGAAAAGCTTCCACTCCCCCCGGTCTTCAGAACGCCATTGACGACCTTGTAGCCCAGTACACTCGAGGTCGTTCCTTTGTGAGGCCATCCGGGACAGAGGATGTCGTCCGTGTTTACGCAGAGGCTGACTCCTCAACAGCTGCTGATAAGCTGGCCTATGAGGTTGCTGTTCTGGTCTACAAGATGGCGGGAGGTGTGGGGGAGGAGCCTAAAGCTCCACAATAATAGCAGGGAATTCTGGGACATAGAGGGTTATTGTTAGGCCTATGTGATATTTAAGACAAAAGAACAAGTACATGTAGCTATAGTTTTAGGGCCTTTTAATCTGGATACTTTGATTAATTTAATATTTTTGCTAAATGAACATGATAAATGTGGATTTATAGTTAGTTTACCAAAGATTTGTAGTGTTACTCAATGATTTTTTTTAAGGTTGATCCGTTTAGTACATTGGTTATGCTGATAATTTCATTGATAAATTATTGTGATTGTTTTGAATTATATGATGTATATTAATTTTATGTTTTTAGACAATGACATTCAATGACCAATAGTCAGGGCATTATTTGTAAAATTATTTCATAAAACAAATTGATCTAAGTTGTGATTAGTGCATTGTGATTAGTTTTATAGATTTATATGTTAGTTTACAGTTATATCATTTAGGTAGTGCATTTACGGTGTATATCAATTATTTTCCTTTAAATAAAGCTGTAATTTATATGACAAAGTCCTTCTGTATTCACTTGTAGACACCTATAAGTTTAGTTACTGTATATCATAGAAAAATGAAGCACAGATTTTTCCGTTTGCCCGATCATGACAAGAAACATAGCGGGTGTGATCAGTTGATCAAAACTCAATTAAACAGTACAAAATTATAAAGAACAGATCAAACGCCATCTTCACTATAGCTTAGGGTTTCTGATACGCTACTCTCCTCATGTTCATGAGAGTAGCGTATCAGAAACCCTTGACTAGCGAAGATGATCAAATGCGGACCTCCAAAACTTCAGAGTAGGGATCAGGTGCCATGGAGGAGCGAACATCCCCTGCAGACCAGTCACACCCGCCATGTTTTCTTTGTCATGATCGGGAAATAACGGAAAATCCGTCGACAATTCAGTGGGTAAAAATGGTCTAATAATTATAGTATGAAAAACGTCAATTAGCATTTGACTTAATGATAAATTGTATTTGCTGACAGGGTCATTGCAAGCATCGATACAGAACTAATGATGACTTACGAAATGAAGACTTTAAACTATACTGCTGATATCCTTGTTTCATCTACTTGCTTGTCAATAATTACCTCATTGTAGAAATTGTTCGTAGATCATGCTCTTGTGTATCAAACAACTGAGAGTAATAAGCCCCTATGCAGGTGATAAAGGCACCGGGTATATTGCTGCATAAGTAAGGAAAGTTGACGATTGAAAAGTTTAAGTCATTACGTTTATCAATATGCTTGGTTGTTAGATTACCAATAACGTCTTTTCTAGTAACATCTACAAATATGAAACAGATTACTTGTGCCAGACTCTGTGGTAGCTTTTATTTCAAACTCACGATTCCCTTGCTATATCCTTTTTTTCAGCGAAAAAGTCTGAACCATTGTATGCTTAAAGGCCGGTAAACACGGTAAGATTTGTATTATAATATAAAATCTTACTGTGTATACACTCTTAATACAGTGTATAATAAGATTTTTCGAATCTTATAAAACTGTATTAAGAATGGAGCAATGCTCTATTTCCTAATACAAGTCTTAACTTACCTATCAATTTCAACCAATGAAATGTACGTAATGACACTAGGGGTCATCCTATTTTTATCATTACTAAAAAAGCACATGGTAAATAATAATGGTCGACTAACAAGTAAAGACATCGAAAAACTCGTGGCTTAAGGGGAAGAGGACTTGTGGAATATATCAAGCAGTGCATAGTACCATGATAGACACTGCTATCAGAGCCTCATCCTCCGTTTTTATTACTTTGACAGAGGGAGAAATACGGTGGGGAAAACATGTTGGAATACGTAGTTTATTTACAATCTTATAAGATATGTATTAGCCTGAGTACAGGAAAGTAAGTATTATGATACAAAAGTATTATAATACTTGTAATATACTACAAATCACATCGTGTATACCGGCCTTAAGGTTAATGATGCGTATTTTAGGCATTCGAGTGTACATATGTAGCATTAAAAGCACTCGTTACTATAATTAATTGATTTAATTCACAAAGATCTAGTTTGACCTATGGAACAAAATGATTGTACACAAAAGTTGACTCTGTCTATAATGGAACATTTTTATCTCTCATTCAGCATCAACAATAACCTACATAAACTAAATCGATAAAAAGTTTACTCTACTCCCTAGCTACTTATACTTACGTTATTTTCAACAACTCTAATCTCATATGCATAACTTCATGAACTTTCTAAATAAATGAATTATTCAGAATGTGTTGATTTCTAAGAACGACTTGATGATTTTTTTCTTTCATACATCTGTTTCATAATTGAATATTTTACCAGACTTTAGTAGATAAGGTCCAACTACATGTAACAAGCAAGCTGTATGATTATCAGATAAACACGATGATTTCCGATTCTATTCTCATAGGCACCATCCTTTACTCATTATTTATTTCCACCTAGCAAACTTTGGTGTTCAGACCTCCCAACATTTTCGTTACAAAAGAGAATGTTCCGAGTTCGATTAAACTTTAAAATGAAGCAGGTTACAGAGAGATAATGGCTGTTACAGCGCTGAAACTTAATATTATTAAGGGGGGATCTATGTCTGAAAAGTCTTTGTGTGAAATTTTTAAAACTTTGACATTTCTTTCTTGACCACTTGCTCTTAATTTTCAGGTATTAAAACCAATACCTTTATATGCTTATTTTTAGACAGGTGCACGTGCAGAAACAGTGGGAAATGCTAAAAATAGATTATTTTCAGACATTATTGTTCTACTCCAAATATATGCGCTAAAAAGAACTAAAAATTTCAAATCACATTCGAAATCAACAGGTATTTGATTTATATGACTTGTATCTTTAAAATAAAGGCAAATTCATTGTAATTCATCTCGCAATGAAAATTAGAAAGGAGCTCAATAAAAGTATCACCCCGTTTTTCTTGTCGTATTTTTTACAATTTCAACATGCATAACAGGTAATATCTTAAAAAGTCTTTGAGTGAAACTGTTGTAATTCATATCTTTTAAAGAAATGATTCATCTCTTTATTTTTAAAAAGAAAAAAGTTTACCCTTATGATTAAATAAACGAGAATTATGACGTTTTCTTTTATTTTCGTACTCTTGTGTCATAAAATTAAAATATTGACCTTTCTGCTCTAAAAAAGGTAAGTAAGCACTGACACACATCTGAATAAAAAAACTATTTTGCGAAAAACGAGTATTTTGTTTTGATTAGAAACAATTTAAACAGATTAAATTTTTTCCTTCTTCATTCTCATCATTCTATCTCTCTCCCCCCCCCCCCCCCATTTCCCCGTCAACAACCAACGTCTATTAGAACCTAGGTATAACTTTATAAAATCTACATGTACTATAAATCAATAAGCAAATATAGGTACAAGTACATTTCTTCATTTTTTCTGTTTTATCCAGAAAATACAATTAATGGTAAACATAAAATTAAACATATTTCCCTGATATAAGTCGCTTTCTTTGCTGAATTTTATCTTAAATCTTTTTGCACTTACATATCAGCATATCGATCATCAAGGTATTTCTTCACAACTGAAATTGCAATGAGTTATCAACAAAAGGAAGAGAATTCTAAAAAAAAATTAAAACAAACTCCATAAATATAATAACACTGTTATTAATAATGAATAAATTTTCTTTTTGTAAATTGTGTACGTTATTGATTAATAACAACGTTATGCCTATATCACAGTTGCAAAAGTCAACAGCTAAAACCAAACGTCGCTATTGTGACGTCACATAACGCTGCTTTGACGTAAAACGACATAGGTCCCCCCTTAAATATTATTGTTACGTATTGATGTTGCTCGTAAATAATGTACATGTATGAAACTTATATTATCTTTGAATTGTATATTGACTGTCATAAATCATGCCAACATTCTTTTTGGTCATTAATTAAACATTAATTGTTTACGGATTTTTGTTTCCATTTGTCCGATCAAGGCAATGAGGATTCAGCAGCTTTGACCGGCCGGCAAGGTACGCTTACTCCTCTGTGGCACCTGATCACACCTTCAATGTTTGCTCTGCTCCCGCTTTGTATTGGACTTGTAGTTTGATTGATGTTCGTGCATATTTCAATACTTATCTTTTGAAAAAATACTAATGTATTTAATTTGCTGAAAAAGGATTATTGGAGCGCCATTTGAAGTTTCTTGACATTAGGCGACGTCAGTTACTCTGATTCTAACCATGTCTATCTTTTTACGACACAATTTCATATATCTTCCAATTCTAAAGACTAATCTCCTCTTTTCACCACCTTAAATGTACGAACAAGACTTTTGAACGTTTTCAAAATCTATCTTTTTTGGAGTGATGAAGATCAATAAGATCCTAACATAAGTGAGTTCGCAGTTTAAAGTTCAGGTTTACAAATTCCAAAGAAGCAATGCCTAAAAGATAAGCACTAACAAATAAATAAGGTATGCTTACTCCTTCACGGCACCTGATCCAATCTCAGATGTTTTTGGAGGTCCCAGTTTGATCTGCTCCCGATTTGTATTATTAAAACCGCTTCTGAGCTTGAAAACTTAATTGTTTGTATACTATTACTTGTATTTCACTCCCAGACATTGCGTTTGAATTTGGATCAGAGGAATTTATTATTAAAAGTGCCAGCCCTACCTTCTTTCACAAATGTTACCATCTGAATACTTAGTCCTATATACGTGCAGGCAATCTGTAGAAGGATATCAAGGAACACTGTGCTCAGAGACGTTAAATGAAGTTCCAATTCTTGACTTTGTATACATATAATATGAATATGTTTAGGAATATAAGAACAGAATTCTCTGATTAAATTCAAAATTCTGCAAAAATAACTATTGGTCATTAATTTACCAATTGGTGAATATTCTCTGCCCTACAACTGTGCAATTTCAAAGTTCATGAGTATGTCTACGTAATAAAAATGTGCAAGATATACATGTGCTTTGTAAGCTTTTTTTTATATTAAAGTTTTTATTGTTTTTAAAAAGATAATCAGAAAACATCAATTTACATCCTTGTATATTTAATTAAAAATACGTATATTTTTGTACAGGTTTTTTGGTTTTTGTTTTTGTTTTATGCTTACGCATAATTTCGACGTGCATTTTTTACGCTATTATATATCAAAGAAAAAATATTTATAAATATTAATATGAATAAATATAATAAAGTATAAATAAAAACAAGAATACAAATAAAAACATGCAATACAAATGGGGAAAAAAGAAATACAAATAAAGAATTAAACAATGAAAACAAGATTAAATAAAACATATAAAAAAAACAAACAAAATATTGTCTGAAATATATACAATACTAATGAGAAAGAGGTCAAATAATGCTACGCTTGACATGCCATAAAAACAAGATATCAATCATTATTTAATGCATTAAAGAACTAGATGCTGTCATGAGACAGTAATACCCGCACTAAGGTGTTTGCCTCTAAATACACGCTCCTACATATTGGGCGGCTTTCCAAAGAA